AATAGACAGTTATTTGGATTTTCTCCGTGTTGTACCCAATAGTCTACAGGCAAAATTTAAGATCAAGCTGACCATCTACTCACTTAACGAAGTGAACAATATATCTATATTATCTATAAAAGGTCACATAAGGATAACGCCGTCATTTGCTCTGTCGATATAACTGTCATATTTGCCACTGGACACATAAGCACAGTGAACGAATTTGATTATGTTATGTTGAAAATTGAATAAAAATCCCGCCCAATATTTAACACAAGCCTTATTCAAATGTTATCCATACCCCTAAAATTCTATTTTTAGTACTATATTCAAATTATAACAACGAATAATCAAATGATATACTGAATACCCCACTTTGACAACGTTTCTTGGACTATAATTTATTTCATGAAACCACAATATTTTTGTAGAAACTATCCGAGTATTTTTTCGGTTTTTAATGTATATATATATCTAAATGCAACAAACGATTTTTGCTGTACAAAATCAAAATACAACATTTCAAATTTCAAGGAAATGATATTAAACGGTAAAATTAAAAGCAAATCTTAAAGTGAAATTTATTTTTCTCCAATTTTCATTATCAAACAATGTAAATGATTCCAATATTACAAAAGAATTCAACTGAGTTTACACATTTAATATTTTGTAGATGCACAGAATTGCAATGGCACTAAATGGAAAATATTCGTTGATATTATCCGTGACAGAACTTCAGCCAATATTTGCATCGGAAAACAAATTGTGGATAATGCTGTCGAATTTTAGTGAATACGATACTATATATTATACGATGGAATTACGACTAGCAAATAAAAGCTGTTTGTTAATAATGAGATATTCGGTGTTCACTGTGATACTATGATCCCAATTTTTAAAAAAAAAATCCAGTATCAGCCGTTTTAGTAAGTTTTCATCTTCATTCAATATCTCGTTACTTCCTTTAGAATTATTCCCATGGGTGAACACTTTTTAAGAAAGTGCCCATGAAAATATCTAAAGGACAAACCGTCCGGATGAACAAAGATGAACAATAGAAAATAACTCCCCATTCCTGAAATATATTGGAGAGTTTGAACAAAAGATTTACGTCACATGTGTATTTTAATTATTATGAATCGTCTATATTTCAATATTCTTACCAAATATGTTGATGTAATAGTTGTGTCGTTCATAGATGAATTGTAAAATATAATAACGTTCAAAAGTAAATTGCAAAGTTTAAGCATAAGGCACGTTTACAGTACCTGGCAGAGAGATGATGAGGAGGAAACAGGTTTCAAGAAATAATAGATAAAGAACTAGCGATAGAGGTCGTCAATGCAAACTCAGAGAGTTGACTTGCATGATACAAAGCATGTTGTGGGCAAGCCTTAGACAGGTATTTCAAAATATTAGTAGGCGGCACATATAAGAAACCATACAGTATTTCAAACAGTTGAAAAAGAATCATCAGCCAAAGAATTAGAATCCAAACACAGCAAAAGCAGTAACTATTACCATCGAATCAGTCAGACATGATTTTGAAGTTCTTAAAAGAATTGTTGTCCAACAGCTAACACATCATTTTATTGGAGTGGAGGAACAATATGAACAATCGCATTTCTATAGAGGCAGCAACTTAAGTAGTTAAAGAGATAAAAGTACATCAATAGACAATTGAATTATAAACGACAAAGACGACACTATCATAGTACATCTCAACAACAACCGATCGACGAATAACGAGGATGCAATCAACAGAACAACCTACAAACTTATAAACATGTGTAAAAAAAATACTGATAGGGTGCGGTGTTGGATGATACCACTCACAAAAATATGTACAAAACAGCGGCAAGAATTTACGGTGAGGAGGTATTACTAGTAGTTTTGAACAGCAGATCATAAGATCATATGAGAGTAAAGACACATCCTAGATTATTTGGAGCACCAGAGTTATTGGATACATCGGCCATACCCCTGAAAACTTCGGATAGTATATTGGAAGACAGGTATGTGCAGAATGCTGCCTGGAATATAACATTTAGGTGTTTAATCATAAAGGAACAAGAGTTGAAGATGAACAACTGTAGAGTGGCCCAGATTGAAATGCTCATTAGAATTACCATCCTTCTAAACACAACAAATGTTTGTTTGATTATTTGGTTGTGCTTGCTTACTTGCTTGCTTGTTTGTTTGGTAAATGATCTTTCCCCTTTGCAGCATGATAAATTGATGAATTGATTCATTGATTAATTGATTTTGTTTGTTTGTTTGTTTGTGTGTTTGCTAGTGAATGCTTTCTTGCTTGCTTGTTTGTTTGTTCAATGAATGTCTTAACGTCTACAGTCAATTGTTCACTATACAAGTAGAAAAAAAGCCCATGGATAAAATACACAAAATAGACATGTAACGTCCAGTGACACAAAATCAACTTTCAGGTCAACAACTACAAGGATAATTGAACACTCAAGTCACACTGCTATCATTATAACTATACAATCGAAGACAATATCACATTACTGAGGACGTTTTGAGGCTGCTTGAAGAAGTGGATATAACCAAGAGTAATCTTACAAATGAAAAACGTCATGAAGAAACACAGCTGATATTGAGGTATAGAGGCATTTCCTGCAGAGTAGACCAGGACAAACCAGCAGAGGGAAAGATGCGTCAAATCTACTTTTTTATTATTTATTATTTGACCATCGTTACAGCCCAAATGATTCCTTAATGTGCGACGACACTCATCTAAGACAGTGTTTTGATATTGGAGTTATCAAATCATCCCACCCACCTTTCTGATTAGCAATTGTAATGGTTGGAAAGAATAGTTAGCTTTGAATGTGTGTAGATTAGATAATCTCCTTTTTCTTTGAAAGTATTCATTTGATTGTTATTTTTTCAGCATGATGGCAGATATTTTAATCCTTAAATATCTAATAAGCCTGTTGGATGCTTTGTACTAAGTTACTTAAATAATTATCCCCCATACTCTTCATTTAAGTTTTCTATGATAACGAACATGTATTAAAATGTACCTCATTTCGTTTCTTTAGTACTTACAACGACACACATTTTCATTCACAAAATATGGATAACTTTCAGTCATTTTAAAGGAGAAGGTATGATAAAAGACATTATTTGGCACCTGAAATTACAAAAGTAGTAAAATTACTCAAGCTTAATAAAAAGTTATCTTGTTAAACGAACAACGAGTTGATATAATCTAGACAATTTAGTGCAGAAATTTCACTTGTGATGTCATAAACATGTTGACACAAATTACTTAAAACCTTTACTAAATTCTTCCATAGATACAAAGATTTGGTTTGCAAGTTTGTCTGTACCTGTAAAAAACTATTTCAAACGGATTAGCACATCCTTATTTTTACGAGAATGTTGTTTACCGGAAATTTAGATACGATCCGGGTAAACTTATCAATCCTTTAAATAAAATTATTCTAAAAGGTTACCAATTCAACACTGTAACTAGATCTTTGAATATTGTTTTTATTGGTATAATTTTGTTATCAGTAAATTGAAACCATACTAAATATTATTGTTATACACATATGCACATTCATTTACGGTACTACAATCTGCCGATACCTATATTTTGGCATTGCACAAGGTCATGTTTTTCTCTGACTGAAAATGCCATCTTTACACTAAATTCATCCGATGTTAGTTGTGTACTGATTGATATTTTAGTCTTAGATACATGATTTGTTTATTAGTTGTTATTGGCTTTGAACTACCTGTCAGTAACTGCGATTACTCTCAGATCTTTACTAAGGGTCTTGTTTGTTCTTTGATGTATAGATACGCTGCAACGTCCGGTCTGTGTTTTCGATTGATGTTTTATTTCTGCTTTGTATCGATCTGATGAGTTAAGCCCTTTTCAACTGATTTTTATACTTTTTTTCTTATGTTGTACTATAACACCACTGCCAGAAAACTAGTTTAACCCCGCAACATTCTATATGTGCCTGTCCCAAAATCTGGAGCCTTTAGTTCCGTGGTTGTCGTTGGTTCATGTCTGTCATATTTGTTTTTTACGTAAATTGTTTTATTATAAATTAGGCCGTTAGTTTTCTCTATTGACTTGTTTCATATTTTTCATGTCGGGGCCTTGTATAACCGACTATACGGTATATGTTTTTCATATTGTTGAAGGCCGTATGGTTACCTATATGTGCTTACACCCACTTCATTTGAACTTTGTTGGATAGTTGTCTCCTTGGCAATCATACCACATCTCCTTATTTTTATATGAAATTGACATATATGACATAAAAAATTATACATCGTTTTGGACAAAATAGATATGAGCAACAGTTTACCAAAAAGTGATATTTTATACGTATTAACGTATGTGTATAATACATCTTGAAGCAAACTATCTTTTGTGGTAAAGCTGTTGCTCATATATAAATATTAATGACTAGATCTCAAAATGAGGCTATTTTGACAATTTATGCATCTTTGTACAAATTTCATACAGTTTGATTGATTGGTGTTTAACAACACAGTTCAGCACTATTGTGCGATTTTTAGCCGGAAGAGGAAGCCGGAGTGCCCTTTGGTAGGAAAACTCACATTCCTAGTCAATTAAGATTCGAACTCACAACCTCAGTGTTGACAGGCTACAGTGAAACAAATAATTATAGTTTGCTACTTAGACCAATCGGCCACCAAGGCATTGATCCCAAAAAGTTTCCTTATCGGAAATTCTCCTTTGTTTTTTATGATTAGCTTTGACATTATTATATAGACCTTTTTTCGATGCTGAATATTATGGATCTTATCCATCTTAAAGAAATAAAAAATCATAAGATATGTAATTTTCTCAATTTTTACCTTTATCGTGTGGATATAAATCATTATAAGGTCACAGATTTATGTTTTGCGATATGTTTTTACAGAAATCAGGTTTCCACGAATGTAATTTAACTACCGTATGACCTCGTCGCAGCTTGCGTAGTAACTGTATTGACCACATGCAACAACGCTGTTGGTTTTAACTGTTTTAATTTCAAAACCATTTCAAAAATTTTGTTTTTTCTTAAACGTTAACAGTTATTGTTTAAGAGGCCAATTCACTTTTGTAAGTATCAATTACAGTTATCTGTTTATAAATAGATTACAATAAACGATTAAGGTACAAATACTATTAATTTCATACTTTTTAAAATTAAAAATCAGTATAATTAATTATATTAAAATTCATTTCTTGCTTTTGCCCTTTTACAAGTTCTACAAGTTCGATAATGTAGAGGGCAATGCTGCAATACAATTATAAAAGCTAACTTAGTAATACAAAAGTGTTGTGTTCTGTAGTTTCACCTTGATAATCTTGCTATTATATTTTTCAAATGTCATTTTGTCTGTATAATTACATTCATAGTACTTGATCCGATCATGTCGAAGACATTTTTTTCTGCTTTTTTCAATAAATATTTCTCGTCATATTTTAGACTTCAGCAAGATGAGACCTTGGATTATTCTCTTGGTACTTGTGATAATGGTAACGTTTGTCCAAGGATGGCTTTTCAAGGGTAAATACCGCAAGTAAGTTGTGTAAACTTTATTTTATACGAATATAACTTTTTACAAACTATTAATTGAATGATTACGATTTAGAATTAACCTAGTAAATTTAAACTCATAAGTCGAACATGAAATGACAACGACATGGCAAGCATAAAAGAAAAACACCAAAAGACAACAGTATACAACACACAACATAGAAAACTGAAGACTGAGCAACACGAACCCTATTAAAAACCGGGGTTGATCCCAGGTTCTCTGAAAGGGTAAGCAGGATCTGTTAAGGATGTATTCCTTTTACCTATAGATAGAATTTAAAGAGAATCTCGCTGATGCACATCAAGTTCTCTATCAAAAATGTAAAATCAGATATACCATGGCATCTTTGTTAGAATTCTTTCAAGGTAACATTATTTTGACTCGCGTTTTTTTCTTTAAACATTTGGTGTTTCCTTTCAACCCAAAGAATGATTTAGATTTTAAATCATCCTTTTTTACAACCACATGTGTATCGTTCCAATAAAAGGGGATTCTGAATTTTGAAAAATCTGTTTTTACAAGTTAAAATGAGATCAAGAATTGAAAATAATTTGTTTTTCAGTTGTAATTGCAAAGCATATGACGCCAGCAGTCGTGAATTAGTGAAGGATTTTGGTGTAGTATCGTCATGTAAAGGCTGGCCAAAATGTGCTTGCAAACGTGCTGAAATGATCAAATGTGCTGACACCTGCGATCATGTGGTAGCTCAGTGGGTCTGCAATCATAAGACAGAATGCGAAGCTAGAAGCGACAGGATAAAAAAATACTACGATGCTGGAGGATGTAGCAGTGGATATGGCCATGAGAGTAGAAAATGCGGCGACTGCAGTACCCTCGGATAATTTTTAGAGAATAAAAGTAATGAAAGATATACTGATGTTTGAATTTATATTACGCTGTATATGAATATCCCATTATTTAATTTCAATGTCAACCCATGGTTACAGAGATCTTTATGAAGGCATACTGTCATTTTTATCTGTCAGTATAATAATGGCGGATGTAACTTCAGATTAAAAATGGCTACATGTCATTTGGTTATTTGTGTCGTTGGTTTGTTGTCTCATTGACGTAAACCAATCATCTCAATTTATTTCAGTTTGATCACTTTTATGTGAACATTCTTAAATAATCCATCGTCAGATTGCTGTGTGAATTAGAATTAAGTATCCTATAACATCTAAGGGGAGGGTTGATCATTCAAAAACATGTTTAACCCCGCATCATTCTACATGTGCCTGTCCCAAGTCAGGAGCCTGTTATTCAGTGGCGGTCGTTGATTGTTGTCTATTATATTTATTTTTTCGCTTATTTATTGGTTATAAGTCAGGCTGTTGGATTTTTTTCTCGTTTTAATTGTTCTACATTTTGTCATGTCGGGGTCTTTTATAGCTGAATGTACGATATAGGTTTTGTTCATTGTTGAAGGCCATACAGTGACATATAGTTGCTCAAATCCGGTTCATTTGGACTTTATAATACTAGTATGTGTCTCATTGACAATCATAAAAAAATCTTCTCATCTTATGCTAACCGACTCATTCAATTTATATGATTTTTAGCTTCTGTAGTTATTTAAGAACGTTGTATCCTTTTTTATTTTGCATGGAATCTTCATGTGATCGTTTTCTCAGGAACGGCACTCTGCTTGTAAGATCAATTGCTATCACATTGGCAGCATCGTCGTCATAAAAACACTTCACTCTGTGAAGTTCAAATATACTGTTAGAAAATATAGACGTTTTTTGTATTGCTCTTTTGTGTTTCAAACAACATCGTAGTATCAATATTAAAATTTACCGTAAACAATTGACTTTGATCTTTAAACTATGTAAAATATCATAACAAGCATAGCAAGCATTCACTGAACTTGAATTTAAAAAAAAAGTTGTTCAAAATCTTGACCCTAATTGACAGAAAGATTGTGATTACCGAGTAACCACGGCATAATAGAAACACTATCCAAGTTTTGAAACATATGTATAGCAAGCCGTTCTCCTCAAAAATATATGTTAGCCATGATTCGAAAAATGTACACACTAAGATTATATAAATTAAACCCCAAAACGGAGAATTCCAAATTACACACTGAGATTAAAACCTTCAAAATTATACATTGGTCATAGCAAATAAAACGCAATGAAATTAAAAACTTTAAGAAGAAAAATCCATCACTAAGATTTAAGAATTACACGCTGAAATGTGTTCGAACTTGAATATGTACCCCTAAGATTACCTACGGTTGAAAATTATTAGAGATAAATCTGGCAATAGATGACCTTTTGTACCCAGATGTCATCCACGATTCTTGTTATTTTAGTGTCCATTATGGGTAATACATCATACATACACGTAAGAATTTATGTAAATAAAAATACAATTCATAAAAAAAACTAACTAATTCTTTGAACAAGGCAATCCAAAATAAAAGAGGAAAATCCAGGAATGTCCTCCTTGCGGACTGAAATATGCAAAACTCATGAATTTGTCAAAACAAAGAGCACATACATCAACTGTTTGCCATTTTTGTAAACTGTTTTGATAACTTCGATGATTAGAAGAAATTTCTTCTCTGTAAGAAACAACAAAATTAGAAACTTGGGTAAAAATATGAGAATATTCCACGTCAGAAATTTCTTACCGAGACCGTTATTAGAAATACATAGAGAAGTCAGTTTAATGGAAGACATTTCTTTTATATGATATAAAATAAAATCATTGGGGCAGTTAGTTCATTGGAAGAAATTTCTTCTATCAAACGTTAAATGAATAACTTCGAGTTGCATTAGCTCGTTGGCAGAAATTACTTCTATCAGATTTAAACCTGAAATGAACTATTTGATCGAAGCCGTTAGTTCGTTGTAAGAAATTTCTTCTATCAAACATTCACCTAAAATAAACTTATAGCAGTTAGCAAGTGGAAATGTATGTCTTCTATCAAACCTTCAATGAAATATTTGAAGTATTTTTTTTCTATCAGACCTACATTTAGATCTAAAAATGAATAAAATGTATCTGATAGTTCGTTGGAAGAAATTTCTTCTATAACAGACATAGACATAAAATGAAATACATGCGACAGTTAGTAAGTTGGAAGAGATTTCTTCTATATCAGACCATCATTTAGATCTACATTCAGATACATGTATCTGTAACTTCGTTGAAAGAAATTTCTTCCATCAAACTAAGACGTAAAATGAAATACATGTATCTATAAGTTAGTTGGAAGAAATTTCTACAATCAGACCTATAATGGTTTACTTTTATAAATTTTGACCTGGATGGAGAGTTGTCTCATTGGCACTCATACCACATCTTCTTATGTCTATAGACCTGAAAAGAAATACTTGTAGCAGTTAGTAAGTTGGAAGAAATTTCTTCTATTAAACCAAAATTAAATTCCATGAATGTTTTCCAAAGTTATTAATGTCTAAAAAAAAGTTGATAAAAAATATAAACCCCAGAGTCTATCTAAATATTATCTGCCAAAAACAATTTATCATTGATTTATCAGAAAAATACCACCAACAAAGGTAGTCATTAATTTATCAGTAAAAAAACGAAAAGGGAGGATTCAAAATTTTTCTTTGGATGTTATTTGTCTATTATGAAGGAGCCTTCCCATAAGTTCTCATCAAATTTCATAAAGATTCACAAAGGGTAATTGAGGTTTAAAAACTTAAAACTTAGACGAAAGCTATATGTTAAGTTCAAAAAACAAATTTATCCATTTATCAATAAAATTTGGAAAAATTAAGAAAAAAAATATACTAGTATTCACATTTTTGCTGTAGATGCAGTCTCTCGCTAAAGGAAATGGTTCTGTCCAATTTTCATTCTGTAAAGTTTTGACAAAGTAATTTACGTCTTCAAAATTCTTTACTTCCCTTCCACCCTGATGGATAGTTGTCTCATAGGCAATCATACCACATCTCCTTATTTTTTAATATTGAAACACAGACTGAACCTAAAATGTTGACGGCAGCCGACGTCCGAATGTAAAATAAATGTTTTCCCGCCTTCGTGACTTTTGTTGCAGGTAAGATAAAAATGAATGTTTATTCAAATAAGCTGTTGATACCGAGATATGTCTCGCCTTTATGTAATTTGATAGAATATTACAAATGTTTAAATCAAAATGGCAATATTCAAACATGTAAATTATGCAAAACATTCAAAGTCAATGAACCATGAATGAAGCTGCAGGGCCAAATAATCTCCATAGAAAGGAGAAATACCAATGCTTATGAAACTTCATATCAAGTATACTATTGACATATCATAAGTAGTTCCTTTTAAACTAACCTAAACATTAACTTTAACATGTAACCCATGCAAAAAGTTTCAAAGTCGATGAACCATGACGTGGGGACAGGGCATATAATCTCCATGGAAATGAGACTTGCAAATGCCAGTACAACTGCATATCAAATATCACTGACCTTATCGTAAACTGATTTTATCACAAACTTTAACATGCAAACTGTGTAAAACATTCAAAGTCAATAGAACATGACTGAGAGGGACGGCAAAATAATCTCCATTGAATTGAGATGTGTCAATACTAATACATCTGCATACCAAAATAGCATTGACCTACCACTATTGCATGGTTCACCTTAAACTGACCTTTTCACGAAATACTACATGTAAACTTAGCAAATGTTTGAATCTAGTCAATAAACCATGACTGAGGAGGAAGGCCATATAATCTTTATGGAAAATATAAGTCGTAAGAATTAGAACTGAAGTAAAAGAGGTTACAAAAAAGATATACCTTAAATGCAAATTACAGCCAACAAGAAGGTCGTTAATGTCCCCACCGTCAGAATATGCACAATGATGTTGGTCCACACTTCGAACCGTTCTCTCTGATTTAAAGGTTCTATATAAGTAAAAATCGGGAAAATGTGCACAAAGAAGTCGTGCATGTTATTTATAAATCCATACATAGCAATAAAAAAAAGATACACCTTTTAGTAAGCTATGAACATGAATTATAAAGTAAGTGAGAATCTATAAAGCCATTTTTACGATATAAAAGTATATTTTTGTCTGGTACTTTGAGGCCTTGTTATATTCTTTAATAAACCGAACTACAGTTTAAATACATTCTTCAATTCCTCAGAAAGGACACAAACATTCTATTGCAGTCCCTGAAATTAAAAAAAGAAATACGAAAACTTACAAAAGCTGTCGGAAATTAATATGCATGCATCAAATTCCGTTTCCTATTTTTGTTTGAATATCTTTAAAGATCAACCAAAAGCATCAGAGATATGATATTTTTACCAGGATGAAAGGATTTAATGATATCGCAATATATAGATTGAAAATAAAATACTAAAAATTACAATTTAATAAAAGTTAACAATATCAGAAAAAAAACACTTTTAGAACTATGAATAATTATTGAATACACTAGTTATCTCAAGACTATTCAAATATTTCCTTATTCAAATACCATAGCATTTCATAGGATTAAAATAATGGTAAATAAATACTGACCAGACTAACTTTAGTATCATGTAAATTCTTTTGAATCCACAACAGTCCAAAATATCATATTGAGACACATAAACTGTCTTAGATTAGTAGTATGTGTAGTATAGTAAGTAATTATAATGTATATATGACCAGTGGTCTCAGTTAGATAGTAATTAGTTAACTTGTGATAATTATGGGCATTTCTATCAAGCTATCCATGTGTCCGTTGAACCAGTACAGTAATCTTAAGAATTAGAGCTAACACTAACTGGTTCATTTTACACACGAATGCTATATAACATGCTCATTTAGTGTGGTGTATGCTCTTATGGTCTTTCAAAGTTGTGTCGTATTCATTCTTGAGATAACTTCTGATGTGTGCTT